TGCTCCCGAAAAACGGACAGATAGACGGACAAGGCGGCGACTATATTCTCTTCTTTTCGGAGAGCATAAAACAATTATTTTATAAAGTTTTCAACAATTAAAACTAACTTGTCAGACTGGATTGTAATGTGTTTACCTCAATGCTCTTTTCAGTTAAGAGTGGCGTCATTCTAGCGCCTTTATTCTTATGATGACGTCATTACGCTGCATTCGCGCCGATTTGTCATGTGAATATTATCAACTGATATAGATCAAACCTGTGGCGGTTGTTTGTGTGAGAATGTTATTTTAGCATTATATGAAAAGAAAACAGTGTAAGGACGAAAAATATCAATAAAAATGGGTTATTATTGTTGTTTTTAAAGTTGTTAAGTTCTATATTATCGAGGGAGAAAAATAATCAGCTGCATATATACATGTAGTCCCTAAGATATGAGTCAGCTTAAAATTCATACACTGTTCCTTTCTGTATTAAACCCACTTTACCATCACGTGACTTACAAGACTTTCTTGTGCGTAAGATTATTACATATATTTTTGCTTATTAAAGTTAAATAAACATAAGACTGGATATCTTTTCAATCAGCCTACTTTAAACTGAGAGAGCTTAATTTCCTTTTAAGTACTTAACCAGATGTACGAAAAAAATACCATGTACGTTGTCATTTTTTACAGTAAATGTAGGCATCCCGCGTATCCAACCGGTCTGCAGTATCAAAACAAATTACTATTAAACAGTTTGCATAAAAAAGAAGTTTGTATGAGAGATCGGTAGTTACAGCCAATCGCTGTTGAAGTTTTATCATGTATAAAAAACATCGTATTTTTGGGGGGCATAGGTGTGAAGGTTATCCTGGATATATACTTGTTTATTATGGTATAAAATGATAGAAATTACTTAGCCGCTAGATATGTGAAGTACAACTATATATTGTCTGCTTAAGAAAGGTGGTCGCTTAAATTATGCGTAAATGAGAAGAAAGTGTAAGTTTTGATATATTTTTACTTTGGGGTTTAAGCCATGATAGGGCTGATACATGTGACCGCTGATTCAGGTTTTACTGTAAATAACCTATCACCAGTTTATCATTTGCAGATTGTATAAGTGTACGTATATGTTAGTGTTTATTACGTGAAATTTTAACAATTAAGAACCCAAAAGGAAACCACCGGTTTGACAAAATAGATAAGTGACAAAATTTGCCTGTGTATACGATTGAGAAGAGCATTACAAAAAATTGGAGCGATATCATTGGTCGGCAAATATGTTGAACACTAGTAACTCAAAACCAACATTATCATTTACCAAATGCTTGTGCAAAGGATGAGCATACTACGTTTCATAATGATGTACATCCATATGTACATAAAAAAAACCGCTAAAACATGTCGTAAACACACTGCGTTAGCAAAAGTTATCAAAAAAACTCAAGGACATCTTCAGAGTTACAAGAAGAACTCTATAGCATTTGAAAAATCGGGCATAAAAATTGTTAGCCGGGGATTTGACTTTGCAACTTTCCATTAATTAGGTAATTAAGTCAGGCAATGGAAAGGATCACAAACGAACAGGTCAATATGTACGAATGAGCAAATAATTTGGAAATTTCACTCGAAACAAACGGATTTAAAACAATATCAAGTTTTTCTGACACATAATATAATATGTAATGAAGTTATCAGAAGAACTCCATCTTCCGTAAAGTACGAAAGACCGGTAGGGCCATTTCAACTTCATGAATTCCCGATTTCATCTTCATGAATTCACAATTTAAACATCGTGCATTCCCGTTTTCAAAATACGGAATTCACGAATTCACGATTCAGCTTCATGAATTCACGACTTCAACTTCACGAATTCACGATTTCAACTTCACGAATTCACGATTTCAACTTCACGAATTCACGATTTCAACTTCATGAATTCACGATTTCAACTTCACGAATTCAACTTCACGAATTCACGATTTCAACTTCACGAATTCACGATTTCAACTTCATGAATTCATGATTTCAACTTCACGAATTCACGATTTCAACTTCACGAATTCACGATTTCAACTTCATGAATTCACGATTTCAACTTCACGAATTCAACTTCGTGAATTCACGATTTCAACTTCACGAATTCACGATTTCAACTTCATGAATTCACGATTTCAACTTCACGAATTCACGATTTCAACTTCACGAATTCACGATTTCAACTTCACGAATTCACGATTTCAACTTCATGAATTCATGATTTCAACTTCACGAATTCACGATTTCAACTTCACGAATTCACGATTTCAACTTCATGAATTCACGATTTCAACTTCACGAATTCAACTTCGTGAATTCACGATTTCAACTTCACGAATTCACGATTTCAACTTCATGAATTCACGATTTCAACTTCACGAATTCACGATTTCAACTTCATGAAGTTGAAATCGTGAATTCGTGAAGTTGAAATCGTGAATTCATGAAGTTGAAATCGTGAGTTCTTGAAGTTGAAATCGAGAATTCATGAAGCTAAAATCAGGAATTCATGAAGTTGAAATGTCCCCACCGGTCTTTCGTAGTAAAGCAAGTCCCCTTCCTACACCCTTGCACAAGGGTACGGCTCATTGAATGTTCACAAAATATAGGTTTTATTACTTTGAAACTTTGTTTTGCAGTCATCCTTCATTTAGATTACAGTAATTAAGACATAGTTTTATAGCCGGTAGTCTATATGTTAGTATAATATTTTAGTAAACTATATTGACATTGTATACATGTAGCAGTTTACAAATATCATGGGGGCGTCCGTGGCCGAGTGGTTAAGGTCGTTGACTTCAAACCACTTGCCCCTCACCTCTGTGGGTTCGAATCCCGACAGGGACTTTGGATTCTTTCATGTGAGGAAGCTATCCAGCTAGCTTACGGAACGTCGGTGGTTCTACTCAGGTACCCGTTCGTGCCTGAAATAATGCACGGAAGGGCACCTGAGGTCTTCCTCCACCATTAAAGCTGGAACGTCGCAATATGACCTATACTGTGTCGATGTGACGTAAAACCCAAAACAAACAAACAAACAAATATCATTGGTATATAATTTAACATTTCAACATGCCAAATGGAACTACATTTATATCACCTATGATAAAAATAGTTAAATATAAGATGAAGCCCCAGTCGAGGGCTTCATCTTATATTTAATACAGAGACCTTCCTTACCCCACTGCACTAGCACCCCCTCTCAAAACATATTGCATCATTCCTTGATACAGTGTTCATGTATGAATATTTCTACTGTTATTTTCGATTGAATCAGCATACACACTAATACATGTATGGTAACATTTGAGGAGAAATTAACAATTTTGCAACATCAGAAATCCACTATCAATTGTACAACATCAGAAATCCACTATCACAAACCATACATAACTTAAATGAATATTTTACGCTTTCTGTCTCTGATAACATTGTCCTATGAAGTCTGACAACAGTTGTTTTGATGAGAACAACTAATAACAATTATCTTTACAGAATTCCGGATGCTATCATAAAGCATTCTGATTTAGATTTATACTTTTACCAGTCGTAAAATAAGTACACAAAGCATCCGTCGCAAAATTCTGAAATGATCAAAAGACAGAAGCATGCAACAGTTGTCTACAAGCTATCAGTACAAAATTGTCACCACTACTTCAAGAGGCCATGGAACTGTAGAATAAACAGATATTTCTTTTCAAAAGAACAAAAAAAAAATTCTGATAATATCGACATGATTTAATTAATAAAAGGATTTTAGATATCCATAAAAAAGCAACAACAAAAATCCAAAAGATCCCCTTCGTACATGACAAATCCTCACCGTACATGACAAAGGCTCACCGTACATGACAGATCCTCAACGTACATGACAAATTCTCACTGTACAAGATAAATCCTCACCGTATATGTCAAATCCTCACCGTACGTGATAAATCCTTTCCGTACAAGACAAATCCTCACCGTACATGACAAATCCTCACCGTACATGATAAATCCTTACCGTACAAGACAAATTCTCACCGTACATGACAAATCCTCACCGTAAATGACAGATCCTCAACGTACATCACAAAGGCTCACCGTACATGACAGATCCTCAACGTACATGACAAATTCTCACTGTACAAGATAAATCCTCACCGTATATGTCAAATCCTCACCGTACGTGATAAATCCTTTCCGTACAAGACAAATCCTCACCGTACATGACAAATCCTCACCGTACATGATAAATCCTTACCGTACAAGACAAATTCTCACCGTACATGACAAATCCTCACCGTAAATGACAGATCCTCAACGTACATCACAAAGCCTCACCGTACATGATAAATCCTCACCTTATATGACAAATCCTCACCGTACATGATAAATCCTCACCTTATATGACAAATCCTCACCGTACATGATAAATCCTCACCTTATATGACAAATCCTCACCGTACATGATTAATCCTAATCATACATGACAGGATCATCTTTTACGTGACAGATCCTCGTCGCAAATGACAGAACCTTACCGTACATGATTAATCCTCACCGTTAATGACAGATCCTCAACGTACATGACAAATCCTCACCGTACATGATAAATCCTCACCGTATATGACAAATCCTCACCGTACATGATTAATCCTTATCATACATGACAGGATCATCGTATACGTGACAGAACCTCATCGTAAATGACAGAACCTCATCGTAGGTTACATAATGTATGATTATTTGAAATGTTCTGGAAGCTTTTTACTCTCCTAGCTTTACAAATGAAACAACTGCTTGAAAATATTTTATCTTCATTGCCACAATCGTTCTTTCAAACTGTTGTTTTCAAACAATGAATCAGAATCAAGCTAATGAATCAAATCGTTTGTTGTATTATCAGTAGATTTGGCTTTTGAAATGTAACAATATGTTACAAGACAAACAGTATAAATTCAGCACCGAATATGCTACAGAATACAGGAAATTACGACTTAGAAGTCCAATCAGTGAAACATGTGAGTACAGAATATTATTATTTAATTTTTACTTTTCTTCTTTAACATTAACTTTATTTGTTATATTTTATTAACGTACTTTAAGTTATCACTTACTTGGATATTTTCGTGCTCTCTAAATGTGAATTGAATCACTGTTTTTTCTTCATTTTTTGTCAAAGAAACATTACTAATACGGCATATGTGTTCGTGCGTCTTCCGTTTGGTACCCATATCTTAGTAGTTGGGCGTCATGACATTTTGGGATTAATAATTGACACAATATAATTATGCAAAATACATATGTAAAATGCATTGACTTATGCCAGTATTTATAAAATAGAACTGTTCAACTGAAATTACATTTCTTGGACCATATTCTTGGACAATTATTAAAATATGTTCACGGTTCTCGTATGTTGACTGACAAGTATACTTTAGTACAGATGTCGGATTAACAAGTTTATCAAAATAACTATCAATGATGGCATTAATCATGTAGCCATAGAAATATATTTGTAGAAACGATATGGTTTTCAATTGTGCTAGTATGATTTTATCGAACATCACTTTGATTTAATATGGTTATATTTATAAACTCACTCATTTACTTTATGATATGTCTATTCATTTCTTAGAGTTTTAGTTATACATGTACATGTTTACTGGAACATGGATACGTTGGGGCTTTTACTGTTCGCGTTTTCGTAAATGATTCGTCATTAAAGGAACTCCACTGAGTTTTTGACATGACGTGACTGGAAATAAGTTTTCGTGATTAACATTCAATTTAATGTAGGTCTATATCAATAACGTGTGTAAAATTTTAGATCATTTGCTCACTCCGTTTTTACAGAATAACTATTGTAATTGTGACAAATGACTGAAAATTGAAATTCATTGCAAAACTTTTCACTCAGATCGGATTAGAATTGCGCAAAAATATGCATTTCAATTATATCTGAGCATATTTATCATCTTTTAAGTGCCCAAATTGATCTCTGTAAGAAATTCAAATTTTGAGGGGTTTTTTTATTACTTTTTTTGGAACCCAGTGAAGCTCTTTTAACGCACGGAAATTCACTTATATCATAATCATAATCATTTATTGTCAAATTGAAAACCAAATTTTATAATCTATTCACGGATCAAAAACAAATATAGGAATCATTACGTGGACACTGGGTACTTAAACATTTTGATCATATCGACAAATGGTCAAATAAGTCTGTGTCATGAAGCTTTTACTTTCTTCTTAACGTTGATTTATAACATATCGTAATTTTTGTTATCAAGTAGCCATACATTTTTTGTACCATATCAGCTTTAAAAAATTAAATGTCAGTACACGTGCATATGAAGTTATCTCAAGGGATGCATGATGATAATTATGCTTCAAAGTTATTAACCAAGTATATATCATTGATTAATTCTACATAATATATATACAGTATGAATAAAGAAATAAGAAGCACCATATATACAACTAAGTCATATTTAACCATTTGGTGTTGCCGTTGAATAATCATATTTTTCCTTAATTTCAGTAGCGCATACTCTTTGATTACGCTCTTGCCTTCTGGAAAATTGCCAATCCGTAAAGCATGAGGATATTAATATTTCCTATCTCGGTATGACGTTTAATTTATTTATCCTTTACATGTATTAAATGACAATCATAACTTCATTGTATGTTTAATAGAATTTAAAAATATTGAGTGCAACATTTAGCGAAGACAAATCCTGAAATAATATTTCTTACTTATCCTTTTCTACAGAATTAATGCTATAATTCATTTTTAAAATGCCAACAGTATCGCTAAAGAGTACAAGTTAATTATCTATAAAACAACCGTAACAAAGTTATTAAATATTCATTTTTTATAATAATACTATATATATGTCTGATATTTCAGATATGTTTGTTGCTGTTGGTTGGTTTCGCAACAGTAGAATCACAGGAGTCAGGTAAATTCAGCTTTTACACTAAATAACGTTTTGAGCTTTAATAAGTTGTTTTACATTATTTAAAGCAATTAAAGATTTTATTTATTCAGATTTAGAAAGTAAGAGCTATTTGCTCACAATACAAGCACATGTAAAAAGTGATGTCATAAATTACATTTTTGCTTCAGACGTCGTTAACCTTTCCGTTAATAAGCCGTCAAATCAAATAAGTATTTGGAATAACAAAAGGAGATGGCCATCTAACTTGGGCAATGATGGCGACGCAAATAGTAACATATATCAGGACCATTGTTTCCATACGCAAAAACACATGAGCCCGTGGTGGGAAGTCGATCTTTTGGATGTTTATAGCATTAACACGGTTAAAATGACCAATAGGGCGGACTGCTGTGGTAAGTAGTTTTCATCTGTTTATTCTGTATATTATTGACATTCATATTTTTATATATATTTACATAATGATGAGTCAATTGAGAATAAACGTACTTGCTAAATGTCACGTAAGGTAATGCATTTATCTTTACAATTTGACAATTCGGCATATCTCGTGAATTTCTAAAGTCTATATACTAGATGGTGATATGATTAAAGAAAGCCAGCTTAATCCAGTATTCCACAAGTCACAGGTGCCGAAGCTCCACCACGTACAACACTTGTGGTCTTCAAACCAAGGTCAAATCTATCAGCGTCACTACTATAACTGGACAACTGCTGTACATTTACTTCCTCCGAAAGGAATGAAAAACACCAAGTGAATCTATGTATGGACAACAGAAATGCGAAAGTAAATAAATTTTAAAAAAAAAACTTTTGTATAAGAGCAACCGTCTAAAGCTATTGTTTTCACGTATTGTTTTCATTGCCGGTGTTTTCAATGCAATATACTCTCGTTATTTTAGCCGACAGGGCGGGGAATATGGAGGTCTCTGTAGCAGTAGAAAACGGTAAATGGAAGGTTGTAGCCAGCAAGGAAGGTCCATTAGGTGCTTCCGCAACCCTTACATTTGATGCTGTTGAAGCTCGTTATGTTAGACTTACGTTGAAGGACAAAGAAACATGGTTTCATTTATGTGAAGTGGAAGTCTATGGATCGGGTAAACTATTATTTATGCAAAAACATGTATATGCCAAGAATAGGTCTCAACTCTTGTACATTATGTACAAGAATGATTTTACTTCATATTTTCATATTTTACTTTTGAATGTTTTAACAAAAGAATTGACATGTTGTGTAATGGCTCCAACACCTATTACAGTATATGCACCATTTGAATAGAAATAAAAATGTAGGTTACAAGTACATGTAGTTTTATTATAATGTATGACTTACTTTTATTCAAAGTGTAACATTAAAAGCGTTGCCTCTTTTTTGCTTCAGCTTCTGATAATCTTGCTCTTGATAAGCCGTCTAATATGATCAGCATTTGGGGCGAAGTAGATTATTGGGATGCTGACAAAGGCAATGATGGCGACGCGGACAGTGATATTTATAACAATCATTGTTTCCATACTGATAAGCATGTGAGTCCCTGGTGGGAAGTCGATCTTCAGGATGTTTATTACATAAGTCAAGTAAACATCACCAATAGGGCGGACTGCTGTAGTATGTAACTCCACATTTTCACTTTATATTAACGATAATACTACTTAACATAAATCAATATGTTTTATGGTGACAACTTCGAGTGAAAAGAGAAAAGTTATAATTTCAAACCGCATGCAGTCATTAAACAATTGTGAAGCTTATATTTACTAGTTTTACAAGGATTACACAATACAATGTTTTTGAGCCTATACAAATTTTTCATTTTGATTATTTCTTTACATTAAAATACTTTTCTTGCCTAGAAATATCACTTACTAGTAGTTGATTAAACAGTTGTCTATATAAAAAACTGAAGCTGATCTTTCAAGATATACCAAAGACAATCCGATATTTTCAACAAAATGATTGTTAACATAATGTGCAGCCTCTTAGCCCACACATTTTTTGTACTTGTGTTGAGGAATATTATTTTAATTTTAGCCGACAGAGCAGAGAATGTCGAGGTTTCTGTAGCATCAGAGTTTGGGGAATGGACAGTGGTAGCGTATCAGGAAGGTGCTATGGGTCTGTTTACATCACTTACATTTGACACTGTGGAAGCTCGTTACGTCAGAGTTACATTAAGGGACATAGAAACCTGGCTGCATTTTTGTGAAGTGGATGTCTATGGACTAAGTAAGTTATTATTTTGAATGATATAAACTGGCCAATGGTGCCCTACTCTTTCTCCCCTTTTCCTGTGGTCTTGTGTGACTGTGCCTTCTGGGTGTCCTACTTGGGTGTGTCCGGGGGCGGCGTCCTGTGAACGTTGCCTTTGCCTTGTTGATCTTTATTCTTGTTATTAATGCTGCCGGGACTGCGTTCTGTGTACATAACTTTGCTTTGTTGATCCTTATATTCACATTTCAGTAAACATATTATGATTGTGATATTTTCTTATTATGTGATCCTCTTCTTCGCGTTTTTTTTAAACATGTTACTATGTATGATAACCTTAAAGTGAAAAATGATTTCGAAACCAGACAGGTTTTTATTTACATTTCTATTAAGTGTGTATTCTCGAAGTATTTACTTGGTCTAACCTAGCTTTTCAGAAAAAAAACTATACTTTCTTGTTGCATTTATTTTTATGTCATCTTTATTAAGGTTTACCTGTCGACGACTGTGCTGATAGTCCATGTTTGAACGGCGGCGTGTGCATTGATGGGATCAATAGCTACACATGTAATTGTGCTCCAGGGTTTAGTGGATACAACTGTGAAAAAGGTAAATTCATTTCCTTACACTGATTTTATAGTTTACTTTGAAAATCACGACTTCATAAAATTCATATATTCATCGAGGCAATATATTACTTTTGATAAACATTGGTTTTTTACACATGATATTTTTAATAACATATTGTTCTACAGTCTAACATCAGAACCTTTATGTGGCAACGTTTACCAAAATGAACTTCACTTCAGTGTTGTTATATTTTTTGGTCCTTCTGGATCATGGATGCCAGCACTTTTAAGTTTTGAGAAATGAGTACCGCTCAAGTCGGTGCTAGGGGTCGTGAGGGATGTTGCACATATTCGTTATCCCTCATGTACAGACTCAATCAAACCGAGTCTGCAATTCTCTTGTAAATTTGTTGTGATTAATGCTTCCGAGGGATCACTTTGTTTCCAGATTGTTAATCAGTCTCTGCATTGATCGTTTATCGATTTTAACCAGTTAAAAGATACAAATCTCACTGTTTTAATATATACACCACATTACCATAAACGTTTCGCTCATTATCACAACATGACTTCATGGTGACCATGACGTATCACTTGTTTAAATATTGAATTGTCGTTGTAATTAACTGTTTACCACTGCCGCCCAGAAACAGTTTCAGTGAAACTGAGCCTGTGCATTTTTTAATTTTGTTGTTTTGGGCGTTCCATAAGGCTTCCGTTTTTCTTTTTGCTATAATTTTAAAAAAAAATATCAAAATTATTTATAATTCCAATCCCAGTAGTAAATGTTTCTCAGGTTAATAATCATTAATAAGTTTTTAGCGATATGTAATATTTTAACCGATATGTAAGTTTTTAAAGTTATGTCGTACTTAAACGATACCTTTACTTTATTGACAATGATGATAAGGAAGGTGGCCTAAATTGCACAACGGCCGATACTTTAAAGACGCCAGATTTCGTTACTGTTTATAGTAACATGGCTATTAATTTACTCTCTGCTAAACAGTCTGATACGTTTATTATTAGCTTGCAGTTATACTCATAGGAGACTGTATTTGTAACTATATACACAATGGATTTATACAGATGAATACAATTATGGCTGTAGACAGAAACAGTAAAACATATTGTTTTATACTCATAGTATGAAATAATTCTTTGTGGAAATGATAGAAAGATAAACAAAAAATGTTCATATAACTACGAATGAAGTTTAGCATATTAAACAGTCAAAATTACAAGCATGACATTTTTGTGTGTTATTTTTGTTCCAGTTCTAGAAAACCTGGCTGTTCAAAAGCCTTCAAGTCAAATTAGCATTTGGAATAACAAAGGAACGAGTTGGGAATCTGACAAAGGCAATGATGGCGACGCTAATAGTGATATTTATCAAAACCATTGTTTCCATACTGATAAACATATGAGTCCATGGTGGGAAGTTGATCTGCAGGATGTTAATACCATTAGTAAAGTCGTCATTACCAATAGGGCGGACTGTTGTGGTATGTCGCTGTTTATTCCATTTAACTTTGGTTGTCAGATAACGACATATAAAATATATTCCGTGTTTTTTATAACGTTTCTAATTTCGTATAGGCAGCTATGAATTTACCCATGCCATCTACAAGATGCTCGATTTATTCGTAGTTAGGTGTTGTTTCAAACAAATTCATCCCCGATGATTAAGTCATCATTTTACCTTTGTTTCTAATGTAACGTATTTATTGTCAATTTAGCCGACAGAGCCGAAAATGTGGAGATCTCTGTAGCAGTAGAATACGGTGAATGGACGGTGGTAGCGAGCAAGGAAGGTCCAATGGGTGCTTCTGCAACCCTTACATTTGATCCAGTGGAAGCTCGTTATGTTAGAACTACCTTGAGGGACAAAGAAACGTGGTTGCATCTCTGCGAAGTGGAAATCTATGGATCTGGTAAATCATGAGTTATGCTAGAAAATGAGTTAAATATCAGACTACTGTAATAATTCATATCATTTCTTTAATGGCTTGTGGAAGTTTGCATACATATGAAAAGAAAATGAATATATCTAACAATAGACATGATAAGGCAGTATCTATAAGATTATTTAGTGGCCCCTTTTTTCTTTCAGCTTCTGATAATCTTGCTCTTGGAAAGCCATCCAAACAGATAAGCCTTTTTCAGGACATAGATTATTGGGATGCTGACAAAGGCAATGATGGCGACGCTAATAGTGATATTTATCAAAACCATTGTTTCCATACTGATCAAAATACAAGCCCCTGGTGGGAAGTCGACCTTCAAGACGTATATGAGATATTTCAAGTGAATATCACCAACAGGGCTGACTGTTGTGGTAAGTGACTTTATGGAGGTAGTTTCATATTAAAATAAACAGTTCACTATTGAGTCATTATTAAAATTAAAGCTTATGAAGATCTTATAAAAGTGATCCCTCGGAAGATATATTTAAGAAGTCAAGAAGTCAAGAATAGTTACCTATAGACTATAAACATTGACATGACACATTCTGGAATTTGAAAAATAAATCGTTAGGTATATCAAAAGTGGCTAAGGGATGTCATTCAATTCGTTTCTTTTAAGTTTATTTTTTCATCTTAAGATCGGGATAATTGTATGTTACAAAATATTTGAGATTTACAGTAATGCTATATTATACCTACTCAGTTTAAAAACAACTTGCTGTTCTTATTATAACGTTGTTGCCAGTGTTGTTGAGCTTATTTATTTTCGTTTATCTTAGTTGATAGAGCAGAGAATGTCGAGATTTCAGTAGCAACAGTGTATGGGGAATGGACAGTGGTTGCGTATCAGGAAGGTGCTATGGGTCTGTTTACATCACTTACATTTGACACTGTGGAAGCTCGTTACGTCAGAGTAACATTAAGAGACAAAGAAACTTGGATGCATTTTTGTGAAGTGGAAGTCTATGGATACAGTTAGTTAGATATTTAATAAAATCTACTCTATTTTTATTTGTTTTTATGATTAAAATACATTTATCACAAGTATTCATATGATAATCAACAAAAGACAAAATTTCAGGTAAATGAAAAATTATTGCTGATTATGCTAATGTTGTCATCCTTCATTTTGTTAACAGTGTATATCTTAACATTGTATTATATACATGTATATTTTGATACAGACTGAGACGAGGGGATATGGATGAAAATGAAAGCAGCGATATGATAAAAACAACTATTTAAAACCAAGACCACTTCGATTGCTTCCCTTTAATTATGAAAACGTTGAATAAATATTATTAGACTAAGCTGATTGTTGTTATAATTGTTCAGTGTAACAAAGAAAGCCGTCCAAATTATACATACGCTAGTAGACGTACTAAACACACGCATATGTCAGTGTAATATTAGAATGTTCATTATAAACATTCACAAATTAGTAAGCAGAATGAAAGTAAGGTGATTATCAACACAAATTGGTTCACACAAAAATATAGATTTATCAAAATTGTTACAATGTAGCCAATGAACTTAACAACATATTACAGATTTATCGTGCATAAATGGGAAAAAAATTGGAAAGGGGAGTTCCCTCACACTCACTTGCTAGCAAAATGCAAATAAGTTATAATTACAGACTCTGTTCATAAGATAAAATGGAAATGGCAGCTTTCCTCACGTTTCCTAGTTAGCACCAGCTTAAGCGGTATTCAATCCTAAACACTAACAGCATAGGAATCACGAAATTCCAGAACTATATCACAATACTTACATGCAGAAGGGGGCAAGTTTAAAGTAAAACATGTGAATATATGAGCTACACTTATTGGCTTTTTGAAAAATGAATGATTTTAAACATCGGGTTTTTTCTTTAATAGTGTTTTAAACGTATATCTACTATGATGTTGGAAATTTGAAGAAAAAAAATCAGTGTACATGCATAGTGAAAAAATGATTCTGCCTTAACCTCAAATTATTTACCAAATTGATTGCTGATAGCTTTTAATATCCCTTTGTTGGAATTTAAGATATAATCTTCTCAAATTTGATGTCGGCATACGTTATAAACATTATACAGTGCTCCATGCAATAGTTGTAAACAAGTTGTTTACGGCAGTCTGCAAGTGAAGATAGCACTAATAGCACTATTTTGGAGGATAATGCCGCATCACATATACATTTTATACAAGCTATTAATCATGGAAGTTAACATGATGTAACATTGGCCTACCCAAGGGGGTACTTGATTTATATAGGCTTGTATATGATTTGTCACTATTCCAATACTAATTTGCCTGTTACAGTTAATTAAACTTCATATTCGGAGACACCTGGATGAGTTCTACCACATACATTTTATGTCAAGGCCACTGGGACTTGATATATCAAAAATTTAACGGGCCATAAAGGGAAGGTGAGTATACGTGGGGACTTCAAGACAAATGCTGCAAAAGGAACAAAACGAAGCGTTAAGATAATCTGTATACGTATTTTACTTGCAGTTTGCCATTACAACGGGCGTGTGTGATTTTTATTATCCCACAAAGTTACCTTTTGCCCTTTAAAAACGTTCTTTTGATATCAAAACATTGAATGAAGTTAAACTTCTTGCATCATTAAAATAGAAATAGCTTGCGGATCATGTTTATTATTTACTCGTTAAACATTTTCTGTCACATTTTAAGGATTTGCTGACATACTAGAATGTCTATAAGAAATAATCATAAACTTTATGCGCAGGGTTTACGGGAAAAGGAACAAGAAGATCGTAAACTTACAAAAAAATACATAACTACTTATACTAGTGACGAAATGTGAACACAAAATATGTTTTTATATAACTCATCTTGACAAAAATAAAAGCATAAATATCTTCTGAACATATTTTAGAGGGAAACAACGCACTTACACCTTCCTGATATACGCGTTATTTTTTTTAAATTTATTAAACAAATAACACACTGTGATTGGCCAATCAGTATATGGCGAGGTTGCCGAGATTTTAACGCGTTTGATCGAAACGCTTTACACTAATGTCTTAGTTCTTGTTTGTCAAATGAACTGATTTGAGAGTCTTTCCATTCCCTTACGGTTCCCACACTATCGAACAAACATAACATTTGTATTAACCGAGTACGTTTCCTGTAGGTCGTGAAATTGTTCCAGCACATTGGTTCCACCTTAATACCTTTGATTTGACGATTTGTCTACAAATAACATATTTAAACTTAAGAAAAGCTGGAGGCCCCTTTAAATAAGGAAATATTAAGAGAGCAACATAAACGCATGTTTATGCAAAGTTGACACGTTTTGACATGAACATACATAAACATACTGTTTAAGTTTCATCTTGTGTCCTCAATTTTTATAAGTTTAAGTTGGGTACTTTCCATGACTAGACAAATAACAGTGAATTTTACAAATGTATATGCTTATCTTCATATTATGATTCATGCTTTTGATTGCAGTCAGAAGAAAACTTATTTTTGAAAACCGAAATATATCAGTTTTATATATATGACGCTGATCTGCCAGCTTGTATAACCTATTCAAAGAATCCTTGCATACTTTTTTAACAATTGACTGTCTTAAAATTAAACGAACATAACATTAACGGAAACAAAACTTTCTATTTTTGTCTTTAAGTTGAATTCAAGTTCAATGACACCGTGTAAAAGAAGTGTGCCACAAGACTTCTGGTATAAAACAGTTGATTAATTTTCAGTCTTTCTCACACACTAACAGATGTATGATAGGTAACAAAAACTTCAATGTTGTTAGTCTTGCACCATAAATTATTGCACCATGCATCGTCAACATTCTTGTGTGTTCTAATAATTTTCTTAAGGTAATTGCATCGTTATTCATATTGATATAGATAATATAATAATATAAAACCCTTATTTATACTCTTATATTGATTGGTTATTTTACCCGAGCCACCAGGCAACAAAATCTATTAGGAATCTTTAATAAAAAATGTCCTTTATTGATGAAATTACTGCATACAGTGACAGCAGCTGGGTATACAATTCATATAAACGTCACGATTATCGAATTACAAATGTGCGATTTATTTAAAAGTATTTAGCAAAAGCTCAAGGCAGTTGAAATTCATATTAGGAAACCTTAGAATGGTACACACTTTTAAATAAAAAAAAATACTGACTAAGGTTTGTGCAACTTTTAGAACTAAACATAACTTAAATGTTATGTTCTTAACAATTTTGCTCACCTGTTTAAGTGCATTTAGCATAATAAATTTCCACTGAAAAAGATGAGTAGACAGAAAACAGAAACCCATTGCTAATAAAAATGAAATGTCTGCATCCACATAAATAAATAAATAATATTAATAATTGTTTGTGTATTTTGTAAGCAGGTAAATACAATATAGTCTGTAAGTCTGGTTGAATATCTTATTTATATATTATGCAAAACAAACATACGGTAACTAATCTACATTTTGCTTTTGTCAAAATGAAGGAAATTGATTACTAGGATATGGAATTACTTGTTCTATAAGCATATGTTCTACGCATTAATACTTCAGCTAAGATCCGACTTCTATCTGCTGCTGTACTGACATTGTGGTCTAATCTAAAGCGACAGTCTTGAACTTACCTGATAATTGTCTTATTAAACGTTGAAAACCTTTTTTACAACATGAAGTTTAGGAAAACCTTAACGTAGAAAAAATCTTGAATTTATCACAGTTGGGTCTCATTGTGGTTGCTGAAAAATCTTAGAGAATAATATAAAAGGAGCGGGACGGTATACAATGATACATTGTATGGTCATATTTTATAATATGCGAGGATTGATTTAGGTCAATCAGTAATATTTATTAAAGTTCATATACCGAACACTATATTCATGCATAATATACAACCAGACTTTTGTGAAATAAAACCTTATGAAAATTTCGGCCAGTCTTTACACGGAAGGTCTTGTTTCAAGCACCTCAACATCGATCGGCATTTTCTATCCCACAAACGACCTAGATCACATTCAAAATTTGCCCAAACTTTCTGAAAAAGTCCATACTTCCTGGAAACTTTTTGAATAACTATTTTTTGTATGGGGTTTCTTTTATCATTTTAAAAGTTTAAATGTTAGGAGATTTTCCAAACTGACAAATTTTTTACATAGTTTCGGGTTTAACATCCAGTTCCCTCAAATTTTTGTTTCTATCAGGCACACTTTAGTACAAAAATTCAACATACGATACATTTTATAAGTTGTGCAGTATCGCGTAACTATGGTTATTAAAGGCGGACTAAAACAATGCTGGACCAATGGTGATAATTTATAAAATAATATTTTACGGTTAAATAGATGAGACATTGAATTTTTACTTTAATAAGATTTTTTGAATAAGATATAATGATACCAATATAACAAACAGTTATCAGACTTATAAATATATATACATATTACTTATTGATAAAAAGTGAGGAAATCGTTTTTGACAGTTGTGGCAAATAGTTCCTAGAAAATATGACAATAGTACCATTCAATCTGTCATTGTGCAATTGTCTGCATTTGAATGCGTTGATTTTGCAAGCAATGCACTTCGCGGAAATGCAGAAATATGCAAGAAATATATGCTTAAATATGCTATAATTTCCTATTTTTTTCCGGTGCTGTTATATTCGTATTTTCCCCATTACTTTGCGATTTCTACATAAACAATCATTTACGTGAGCTTGATAAAACCAACATAGATGGGTTACTCAAGTCAGAAAAAATAAATAACTACTCTATTCTCCTCCTAATAAAATCACTACATGTTTGATCCTTTACAGAACGATAAACATATTTAAGTTCAACTAAATGTATGTCATTTGGAAGAATATGATGTAAAGCCAGTTTTTGTTACGGTAAGGGTTTATATCTTTTTAAATTAAACATAACAACAAAGGTGGCAACCAGTGCTCTGATAGGCTTTTATGTTTAACACCACTTTCTCATATTTATCTTTTGATGAAATACCCCATTCTAGTACCAATCCATGCGGATTAAGAGACAACGCTTGCAGGTAATGGTCTCTTCGGACACAATGAATATTTCGAAATAAAAAAAATAAAGTATTTTTACGTACAAATAGTGTACACTGAATTAGTTGCTGCATAAACTAAATACACATACTAAATTGACAGCAGATAAAGCATAATACTTCAACATTGATAGAAGATTAAAATGTATGTGTTTGTTAACACTTGCAGTGGTAAAATAAATTATCGCAATATCTAATATAATACCTATAATTACTTTTTCAGCCCCGTATAAACACACTCATTGCT